CTTCCAAGCTTGATCCATGTCATCATCGTAGTCCTCCCATCATCGGGCCAGGCGTTCATTTCCGGATAAAACCATTATTCGGATGTTTTACAGTTTTACCGCTGGGGTTGACAAAAATCAAAAACAGGAACTGTAAAACGGTATTTTACAGTCTGATTATACAGTCGCACCGGTGGGGATGCCCTTAGGGCCAACCGACGGTAACTAGCGAGTAGAAGTGGCAGAATGTTATCGCCCGACAAGCCTTGCCTTCGTTTCAACCCCCACTGTCACGGCTGGCAGCAACAGTACACGCTTGCTAAGTACTATACGTAGCATGCACTTGGAGGGACGGGGTGCTGCGGTTTTCGTGGAGGGTAACCAAGGTCCATCGGCCATCTTTGGGCCTGAAGAACGCGTCCCTCACGTCCCCTAAGGGGTCGTCCGCGGAGGAGAACTTCTTGTTGCCGTCCAACCAGGAGGGGTCCTTGGCCCTGGATTCTCTGGAGGAGCCCAGCGTGAACCAGTACGTGGTGTTGAACGCAACAACAATAGGGGGGTTGGGGGTCCATTGATATTGGTATTTGACCCCATCGACGGTGTTACTGATGAGGATGCGTGACGAAGCGATGGATTCGGTGCAATGCGGCAAGTCTAGAAGAAAGACTCTCGTGAATATATATTGGTTTGAACAACTATTAAGGGGATGAGTGTATGAATGGGGCGTTGGTTACCGTTGACGGATGGGCACAACTCTGGTTGCAACCACATCGACGGGTTGGAGGGAGGTGTTTCACTCGTTCTGACGGAAAAGTTGAAATAATCCAGGGCCAGAGATGAGATGGTACTAATACCGGGAGCTATGTTATAAGCTCCTAATAACGCCGGAGTGCGGAATCGAACCGCCCATGATACGCTTGAGTGGATGGAGGGGCCGAAATCCTCTTCACCGGATGGGGGGTTGTCAAACACCAGTTGTGACGCAGCGGCGGCGGCGTGGACAAGAGCAGCAAGGAACTTCATGGCAATAAGTGAAATCGAGAAATGAAGAAGGGGCCGACATCGCCCTTTGTTTGGGTGTTTCATAATACAGTACAACGAAGAATTCAACGACCAAGCTCGTTGACTTTTTCTCGAACTACTACAGTACTCGTTGACTATATCTGGGTACTTTCGTTATGGCAATTGACGGATCAATTAACTACTTGAAGTAGGTAGAGTACAGTAGTTCAGGCAATGCAATGCTGTATTCGTACGCTTGACGTTAGTCAGTCCTAGTACACTAATAATGACGATCACACCTCCAACTTGCGACGATATCGCCATGCATTTCCGTTTTACGAAACAAAATGTTTCGTCATTGCATTGAAATTGTTTTGTATTTGCTTCGTAAATCGTGTATATCAAAATCTATCTATCTACTACGTAGTATCTGTAAATAAATAACATGAGCAAGGTCGACTGCTTTTTCCAGTGATTACTCGCAACATAACGA